ATGATTCTATATGGTAAATAAGCATTAACTGCTCCTGAACCATACTGGTCATGGCACTTAGGCCCTCTTTTTTTAGGACAGCAAAGAAACAACAGGCATAAGGGTAATGACCACTTGGTATTTTGACCTTGTTTGGAAAACTCATTGACAGAACTTGCAAGTTCTTCCTTCAGCAAACTATTACAGCTGATTTAGCTCTTCCTTCTTATGACAAGACTCTGTATTTATTCTAGACTTTCATGTAGCTTTCCAAGTGGCAGTGCAACAGTTGTGTAATATTTAATTTAGAACAATTACACAAAGAGGCTTTATTCCAGAGAAACAGGAAGTCATAACATGTACGCAAGAAATAACCATGCTTAAAGATTCAATTTCTGAATCTTTTCACAAGAAATTCTGCTCTTAATACAAAAAAATATTTATTTATACAAAAGGCCCAACAAGTATCATGATACACAGTGCGAACATTTATATGCAAGGACTTTAGATGTCAAATCAAGTTTTCAGAGCAGTTTACGGCAAACATTTGTTTACCACTTTTGATCGCGTATAGTCTGTCATATAAACTCAACCTTTTAGATGTCTGTCCTTTCAAAATTCATACTTCTAAATCGTTCTTCAAGCACATCAGAATCTTCATCACTGTCTGTAACTCCAAAGTTTGCATTAAAATCCAGCTCCTCCTCCAATCCACTGCTCTCTTGGCCATTTTTAGCAGTCACACTCTCAGTTCTGTCTTGTCCTTTATCAATCCTGCAGAAAGCAAGAGGATATTATCATCACCTACTTTTGGAATTTAATTTTCTTTTAAATAAGAATGGGATGGAGAATAGAATATTCTCTCGGGAATGGAAGGGGCTGGAGGTAGGAAGAAGGAGGAGAAGGACAATAACCTAAAGTTACTTTCCCGTTGACTAGGAAGGATGTAAAAGACAGTAAAGGCATCTGTGAAGAAAAAATACATACATATGACCAGCTTGACCAAGTAAGCAACTGCTAGGCAGGGCAGTTGTCACAAACTAGTAAATTAATACAAGATGCTCAATAAAGAGAGAATTCTAGTAAAGAATAAAGAAAAAAAAAAAAAAGCCTGGTAATTATATTGTGGTAACCGCTCAATATCAGCTTTTGTTTAGTTTTTCTGTTCACTAGTAACTGAATCATCAAATGACAAAATGCGAACAGCACATGGGCTTATCCATATTTTATGGTGCTCTATATAAAAATCCATTCTGAAGTACTTTGTTCCTAAGGAAGATACACAATTTACCCTTTGGTATTAAAATAAAGCATCTTATCCAAATAAGACCTTTTATGGCCCAAGCCCACTAACATCAATAGGCATTTCACCCTAGTTTCAGGAGAAGAAAGGGAAGGCAATGACTTCTACCGATTCCTGTCAGGATTATTCAGAATGTGGCAGAAAGTACAACAGCTTCTTGGCAGTTTCCAAACAAGTTTATTAAAAGAGGAAGAAACAGTGCAGTACTGAAACTATGAGCTACTTACGGAATTACTATTTCTTCTTCTTTTCCACATTTAGCACAAACTTCTAGTTTACCAGCACATGGTCGACAAATAATATGGTAAGGATCTTTTACTGTCTTCTGGAGGCACTTCACACTGTGAGGAGAAAGAAAACATGATTAAAAAAGTATTTGTGGACACTTACTAAACATTCTGTGTTCTAAGACAATGTAGACATATTCCTCAAAAGAGGAACAATGTGTTATAGGCCAGTTTCAGATGAAACACTTGGTGTTTTAACAAGCAGCACTATCAAAATCTTTGCCTGTATTCCCTCTCCTTTAACTTTTTGAGGAAGAATTATTCAAACAAGAACGGAAGAAGAAACATAAAATCAAGAATTTTTACATTTAAAGTGACAAAAGAAACCTTTCCATTCATTTCAGTAGGTAGTTTTACTTTAAAAGCTACATAACTTCTTCTTCTGGTTTAACAATAAAAGAAAATAAGAATATGATATAAAAAGGTGCACGCATTTTACAAATAAAAAGCTTTCAATTCCAACACTGCAATGTCTTCCTCTTGAACTTCTCAGAGCATAAACCAAGCCAGTGCTGGACTTTGCTTTCTATGAACACAAGTCTGCACAGAACTGTAGTCTGAACAAACCCAAATCCAGGCTATTCTTTTTCAAGATATGATAAAACTCTGTAGATTAAGTAATTTCTGAAATGTTATGTCTTAATATTCAGCTGACGTTTCCAAAGCCTTATATTTCTGGAGAACAGAACCTGGAACTACATATCCCATGTAATGTAGCTGTCCTAAGAGTCACTCCTTCTTGGTTTTTCAGGCACTCAAGTCTGTCAGGAAACATATAACATACAGTTCTGAACAGTGGATTTGCAGACTTGGCTGAAACAGGCTAGAAGAAAAATATCAAGTATTTTTGCATGCCTTACAAGGAGAGATGCACTAACCAGCATCTAGTGAAACAATTTTTACTTGCTTTCTTAAATCCCACTCTTAAGCACTATCACCTTCTCCCTACTATCTTGATCTAGGCTTTGCTGAGCTTTAGTTATTAAGATGCGCATATCCAATTCCTTAAGAAGCTGTAAAATCACAAGAATTGCTGTAGGACATAATGTGAAAAAAAGCAAAGTCTGAACTGCATAGTGTTTCTGGTCTTCCCTCTCACCCAGGAAAAACCTACAGTTAGATGTCACTGGAAATACTTACTTACTTTGGTTTTTTCCCCTTCCTTCTATGCTCAGTTACATTAGTATTAAAAAAATGTCTACAGCTCTTCCCAGCCATGTCACACCAAACAAGGTTACTATCAAAGCAAGGTGGATAGACCTTTTTTTTAAAAAAGTAGTTTAATTTTTACTAATTAAATACTTGAAATAAAAGCAAATTAAGGATAACTTGTCAATGTACTAACAAGCATAATTCTGAAGATGTAAAAAAACTAAAAATAAGTTGAGGTACAGAGAAGTCCTCCATTCCCGTCATCTATGATGTGAACAATTAATTTTTTTTTCTGCACAGTCAAATTTTTAAAGTCTATAATGTGTTTACCTCACCTAGAAATTTAACCCATTGAAAATCTTCACTGCCTTGTCCTTTCAGAACAGCAGCCCACTCAGCCGTGGTACTCCTGAAGGCTGGGCTAGAAACCACCACCTGTAGAGCTAGAATGGTCTGCAGCCCGATTTACTTGTTCAGAAATATGATGGAAAACATCACATATTCTGTCATAAGCAGCTGTCCCACAATGCCACTTCTTCTATTTCCAATGCTTCCCTGATTTACATGCTTCTTTGCCTACTTTTTTCCTTTGGGGGGGTAGGCAGAGAAGAGGCAAAAGAATCAGATTCACCACAACATGATCCGTTACAGCTCGTTACTTACAGGGTGCACATATTCATTTGAGAAAGTTAAAAAATACAAATCCCAACTTTATCTGTGGTGAATAGAAGCCAGAATGTTTACTTTGAGAACCAGTGAGACTTCTACCTAATCAATATTTTTTTTTTGACATGAAAGGGTGAAATTGTTTACTAAAACCGAAATACTTGTTGCATACGATTTCATATTTAAAACTAAAACTTTTCACAAGTGGGGGATATAGTATGAACAAACATTCCTTCCCTTTTAACCTGCTGAAAATCAAAATAAAATACACGATCATTCAGGGAACTGCACACATAAATTTACAGAACCTCTTCAAGCAGTTCATAAGTATTTCAGAAGTATGTAACTGAAAACAACACACAAACGCAGAGTGAACTACTGTGACAAAGCCGGCTATATCATACACCACAGCCCAGCTCTAGTTCTTTGATTTCAATGTTTCATTGTTGAAACACTGGCTGTGCCTGCTGCCACAGAGGTAAGGACCTCTACTGCTGAGCAATTAAGAAGGAAGCAGAGAGTATCCACTTCAGAAAATGTAAAAAAATTATCGGTTTGTGATACGTTAAGATATTTATCACCTTTGTTATGTACTTATCCAAAACCACCTAATACAGAACTGTATGCAAATAATGCCAAACGTTTAATATTTAGGATTATAGTTTCACATACAAAAAGACAGAACATGCCAAGAGGTAATGAAATGCATACATTGCAAACATTTTGTAGGAATTCAGGCCTCAGTAATGCTAAGAACAGTGCTGCTGATGGCTTCTGATGAGACACAAAACTAAAGCCTTCCTCTCCTTATTTCTCTACTAGATAGTTTTTGTAAACTACAGAAGTTAAGAGATGTGCAGATTCCTCTCGTATTGACTTGCAACTAGGCCTCAGAAAATCGTGTTACAAGTGGTTTAGGTTTGACTTTTTGTTCAGGAGGACACACTGACAGTTTTGGAAACTTACAGTTTCCACAGTTCAACCATTTTAACAGCAAAGATGGAAGCAGTTGCATTTCTACTGTGTTTTCTTTTCAAAAGTTTAAGATAAAAGACTAATGAATGAGAAAAATCAATGTTGCATATATATTGTCATTGCAGACTCCAAATTTGAAGAATGTCACGTAGTAGTAGCTACTACTTGTGAATTTCCAAAACTAGAATATTTTCTAAAAAGCTCACAAACTACATTATCAATGATTAACACAAAGTATCTTAACTCACCATTTTTTAGGTTTTGATAATAGTTTGTACTTGCTGAATTTCACCCGCCACTCCAAGATACCTTTGCAATGTTGACACACTCCATCATGAAGCTTAGCATTTATTTTCTAAATAAATAAAAAGAAATAAGAATACATTGAAGATTTTCCACTCCTGTAAGTATAATTTTGCTTAGAAAGCATTTCCACCCACCATGTGATCAATACAGTATTTAGAAAGATGTTTGCTCGATATTAACATAAGCATTTCATATATGTTTACTGCTAGTAATTTTCGTCAGTGGAA